AAGATAACAATGAATTGAGTAATTAATACACGAAATTGGATACCGCCATGCAGAAATAAGAAAACAGATGCGAAATGCAATCTTAGGAAAAAAAAAAAAAAAAGAAAATGATCCCGAGACCGGGGGGCGTGGGCACCGGCGCGTTTTTCAGGCTCACGAGCAGCAGCGAGGCCTCGGCCAGGGGCGCGCAGGCGGCGGGCGCGCGGGGCCGCAGCGCCAGCGCCAGGCGGAGGCTGCGCGGCGCCGAGGCGTTGGCGGCCCAGGCGGCGCCCAGCAGCTCGGCGCGCACCGGCCGCTCGGGCGCGCGCACGACCCGGCGCAGCAGCTCGGGGCCCGGGCCCGCCTCGCCCGCCAGCGCCACGCTCAGCTCCCAGCCGTCCGCGGGGCCCGCCGCGGCCGCGCTCCCCGCCGCGAAGCGCAGCTCCAGCCGCGCGCTGCTCGGGCGCTCGGCCGGCTCCACCGCCGACAGGTCGAAGGCCACGGTCCAGGCGGGGCACGGCCCGGCCTGCCCCGCGCCGGGCTCCGGGCGCACGTCCGCCGCACCTGGGGAACGAGAGCACCGGCTAGCGCCCAGGGCCCGCGCGCCGACGACCGCCGTCGGAGGGCAGGGGCGGGGCGGGCCGGGGAGGACGGAGGGGCCCCGGGTTCCCCCCTCCGGCGATCGCCGGCCGCACTCACCACGGCCCGGAACGTGGCGCACGATGTTCCCGGCGACCCCCAGCTCCTCCACGTGGCAAGGTCGCGGCGGGGCCGCGGGGGGCCCCCGCCACCCGGCCCGGGCTTCCCGGGGGTCACGGCGGCGGAACAGCCGCCACATGAGCGGAGGGACAGGCCGGAGCCTGGGGGCGCCGCGGGGCGCGTGGCGCAGCCCGAGGGCCCGGAGGAGGGCGGCGGCAGGGTCCGGGGACGCCGGGGCGCGGGCCGGGGCGGGCGCGGGCAGCATCTGGGCCAGGAGGAGGAGGTGAACGGGATGGAGCAGCGGCGGCATCTTGCTTCCAGCGCCGGCCAATGTGAGCAGCGTCCACCGCAGCCCGGACCAGCGGGCCGGGGCGGGGCCGAGGGCCCGGGGCGGGCCGGGGGGGGCCGGGGGGGGGGCGCGGGCCGCCAGAGGGGCGCAGGCGCGGGGGGCGGCCAGCCCGGAGGGGAGCTCGCTGAGGCCAGGATCCCGAGACAAGGTCGATCCGTCGGGGGCGTGGCTAAGCGGTCCCAGGAGGCGTGGCTTCCGTCGGAGGCGCATCAGGCTCTTCGGGGAGTGGCCCAGCTTTTCCTGGGAGGCGTGGCTTCCGTCAGAGGTGAGTCGGGGCGGGGCTCAGACGGTGCGGGGCCTGCTCGGGGGCAGGGCCGGGCTCAAAGGCGCTAGTCTTTCAGCAGGCCGTTCCTCAGCGGCCTCCTGCTGACGGGAGGCCGATGGTGA